AAAGTTGTCAAAATGTTACCTCAAATAAGCACCACCCAGAAATGAAAGTGTTACAAAGTGGCTCTTATTTGAGGGTTTTTACAGTACCTTTCAATCAATACATGTTATTGTTTTAAATTTGTGCAAGACGAGACTGACACTTGTAAACAAAGCAATAAGCATCACGGGCGAGTGACCAAGCGTCAAGGACAAAAGGCAAGCATCACTGCCAAGTGTCCAAGCGTCACGATACCGTGTCGCTTCAGAGGCCTGGGGAGAATACTGTATCCTAACATTTATAATGAATGTACCAAATTTGAACAAAAACTAACATACATTTAGCATGTTCAAGAAACATTTTAAAATCAAAGAAAGCTTAGAAAGAACTCTCGTGTGCTGAAAGTATTGGAGACACAAATGAGAAGCTTGGTAACTAATATTTGTCTGCAATTTGAGATGCACAACTTGAAAACAATGTGATTTACAGTATCAAAATTTATAATAAATACAGAAAATACATTTGAATTTTCATCCATGGTTTTTAGTCTAATTCCAGAGCACCTCAATTCAATTAAAATCTGATTTTTTTAGATATCTGAAATGGGCTAATAATAGATAATCAATATGCATGTTTATCAACAATAAACTAATCATGTCTGTGGGTTAACGCAATGAAAATGAATTATTATACAAATTAAGCAATTATTATGCATAGATTTCGGTCTGCATATTGTTTCAGGGTGCCAAACAATTATGAATTATTATGCAAATTAGGTAATTAATATGATCTGATTTTAACCAAAAACTGAGCAGGGATGTACATTGTTCGAGAGCATCAATGTATCAAGTTTCAATGGAATAATTAGTACATGTGATATCAGTGAAAAAGCTGAAAATTGGCTAATTATGCAAATTAGGTAATTAATATGCACTGAATTTAACCCAAAACTAATCAGGTCTGTGCATTGTCCTAGAACATCTATGTACCAAGATTCATTGAAATGAGATAATTAGTACTCATATCAGTGTAAAAGACAAAAATTGACTCATCATTATGCAAATTAGGTTAATTATATGCATGGATTTTTACCCAAAACTAATCAAATTTGTGCATTAATCTAGTGCATCTATATAACAAGTTTCATCAAAATCCAACGTACAGTTCTTGAGATATCAGTGGAATGGACAGAGACACACACACACACACACACACACACACACACACACACATAGACAGGGTAACTGCAAAGACTCCCATTGTGTGCTTCGCACACGGGAGTCAAAAACAAGATTGCTGCCAGTCAGCCATCTTTGATCTGATTGTAAAACAAACTGTCATTTTGAACTTCATTTAAACAGCAAAAATGCACTTCTATTGCAATCTAGATGATAAAAAGATCAGATCACGTTTTCACTGAAACTTATATTAAACTGGTGTGTCACAGATTCCCTGAAATGAGGCGTGGCTTCTATGAAATACATAAGCCTTATTAGGAATCCATTATTCAGTGACAAATTATAAAAAGAAAAGACAACTTTCCTTATACAACATAAATGGACTATTTTTTGCAAAAATAAATTCCAGTTCAAAATTTAGTACATGTATTATTCACAGTACCAAGCTTTTAACTGTCTCAAATTGTCACACTATATAAATTGGAAATTTTCCTTTCCACCCAGGTCCCTAAAATGCATCTTGCATAGTGGAAAATTACAGAATAGAATTTGATACAAGCCACACTCACTGGTGCGAGTTCTTAATTACTTGGTACCATATATAAATTATTAAATATTATAATATGGTATCATGCATGGTTATGTGTGGTTCTGTCAGACATACATGTACATGTATGCATATACAACAATTACAAAAGTTGCATGTGAACACAAAACAAAATAATCAAGAAATCACCAGTTGGTTCATATATGTTGTCCATTGTACTTGCTATATCTAATGGTATACCAGGTCCCACAATGGTTTATTGCATAAAGCCAAAACAATTAAGGTGTGGTTGTGACAACATGCACTTACTAAATGTAGGGCATGTGAGGGTTTTCTTTCTCCTTTGCCTTGCTTCCTGATTCCTTAACCAAACCTATGTTTAATAATCTTTACAGTAAAGTCATCCTATTTTGGCAACAATTCTGGATTTTCACCTGTGTGGCCAAAAAAGGTTCAGGAAAGGTGTTTAGGTAGATGGATAGGTAGGGCATATTTTTTTATTTCACTTTATAGGTCGGGAATTGTGGTGATAATTTTGGGTAAATCAACAATGCTTTTAAAGCACATGGTCACAAAGATCTGCATACTCCTCACCTGTAGGTTGGACACGCACAAATCACAGTAAAACAACTCATGGCACTTTCTCATATGATCTTTCAAATCTTTAAATGTCTTGATATTTTCAGGTGTCTTTATCTTACAGATCTTACACTGATGTTCAAGGAGTTTCTGAAAGGCTATCTTCACTTTGCTATTTTGGAAGAAGATTTGGTATTTGCGATCAACTGGAAAATTTTGATAACTGATACTTGCAAATTTCAGTGGTTTCTCTTCAAAAAGTACCTGCAAGAAAAATACAGATGTTATTAAAGTTTTACCATCAGCAGTACTCTCATATACAATTGGTGTGTATCTGAGCAATACAATCATTGATATAACATTATAGTCAAAAAAAAAAAAGACTGATTCTCATTGGAAACAGAAATTTATTGGGGTATACATGTATCTTGGGAAACGTAGCTTTTCAAAATGATTATAGGTAGAACTGCAGTTTAGTCTTCCATAATCATACTTCATAAATCTATACCATAATTATATTGTTGAGTAAACCAGTGCAGAAGACAGTCTATTACAATGATTTCATTTACTCTTTCAGTTTACGCGACTTTCTCCTTTATCACACTGTCTACATATCATAATGTCTACAATTTTAGTTTGTTTTCCTAGCATGAAACAGAATTAAAGCTAATATTCAAAAGATACTGAATTAAGATCAATATTTCATATTCTGAGGCATAACTCTGGAAACCACAACCCATGGATAATGTTGCATTATGCCCTATATAACCATGGCTTACATAAATTAAAACTGGGTATGGTCCAATCACAATTAAGTATTCATGGCAATGACACACTGGTATAATATAAATCCTAGATATTTAGCAATATAAGGTCAGGTCAACAAGTTCAAAACTATCTGTAAACTATCACATTGAATGATTTTGTGGTGGAATTTGACCACTCGCTGTGGAAAAACTATTACAAGATATGGAGGATGTTATCAGGAGCAATCTCAGACTGCCATAACAATGTCCATGCTCACTTTGGCCACCTAAAATATTCAGCAATCAGGAGCTTGTTATGCAAGGATTCAAGAGAAGCAACACTACTATATGACTGGTACTGTATTAATTAATTGTTAGACAATCAGATCATTCAAGACCCATTAAAACGACTATCACAAGCCACAGATACCAACTGTGATATAAAATTGGTTAATTATTCAGATCATATAGCAGTAAAACCCACAGGCTAAAGATATATCACAATCACCAATGCTAGCAACAAGCAACCACCATGGCTGGTCATTATTACATGGTACCATATGCCAGTTTTAGGACAATTTCAGTAGTAACAGTATATCTCCAACAAGATTTACTATAATTAGGTTTCCGTTGGTTTACAACAACTACACGTTCTTCAGTTTCGCAAATACGTTCTAACAGAACATATATCGCCACAATTTAATACGTTAACAAGTTTACATTGCCGGTGACCCAACCTCATTCCGTTTACAACAGGATCAAATAGACGGGCGACCCATCAGTCGTTTTGCGTTGCGTTCTCGTACCAAGTCAATTGGTAGTCCAATATGATCACAACATTCAGAACAACGCAAGTTGACGCTAAAATCGCAGATACAGTAGTAACAGAACGTCTGTATAGGGTTAAAATCCGTTAAACTTACGAACCTCGTCCAAGTCGGTCCTACACACAGCACAGTACTTTTGATTGCTTAATACTCGCATTCTGGTTGAACATTTATAGCAAACTGGATGGTCGCAGTGTCCAACGGCGTAAAACTTTACATTCTGGCAGCACAGAACGCAAGTAGACTCGATATTATCTGTAGTTTTTGACATTTTTAAGGTTGGTATCGCGTGACGTCAATTCAGCGCAACGTGTGAGAATGATTGTCATTCAACATGGCGGCTTACATATATATATAGCGTTCGAAAGACCCGGATGTAAATGACTTCGTTGTGTTGTGCAATATGACGAATGTTTTATTTTTAGAAGCCGCGATAATAAGGGGTCGCTCGTAACAATAGTCGCGTATTGTTAACCAGTTTCATTAGTGCGACCATAGCACTTATACAGAGAAGTCTTTCTTGCGAATCAATATTTCTAGGTGAATTCTATGACGACATTTCCCACGAAACACTGACGACAAGAAATGTGCGAAGTTCATATTTACTTTACTTATTGAAACAATTACATAAAAAAACAAATCTATAAAAAATGTTGTACAGTTCAACGAAATAACAAAAAAGGTAAACATTGTAAAATATGACAATAGTCTAACAAATTTCTGAAAAGTAGAACGAATAAAGTCGAATTTTACAAATTTATTTTTTGTTGTGTCTATATACTAGTAACTTTAAATGAGTTGTGAAGTGCAATCATGTATACACACATTTTCGTTACCATTTCTTAAAATTAATAAAACATTTTACACATTCCCGTAGTGATTTTCTTTGACCAGTGTAAACTGGAGGTGATATGTTGAGGTGATATTTTACATCAATGCGTTGCAAACTTGCAAGTTATTTTTCTTTTCTTTTTTGACGAGATAACTTTTCCAAGGTCCCGGTTTTCCATTAGCTTCAATTTTTCGATTTCCGTTTTTCCGACTTTCAATACAATTCACCCAAAAAACTTTCATGTAGAAAATATCAATCCAATCTGATTATATTTTATATATTTATTTTACCGTGACCTTTACTATTATTCAAAATTATTTTGTATTTTTTAAGTTATGTTTTTTGTTACGTACTTGTGATTCGGTATATTATCTATCGCCACATATAGATCCCTGTTTGGCATTCGCAATTACCAAAACTTTAAAAAAACTACCAACAAATAAATAACAAACAAAACTATCAGATTGATATTAATCATACTTATAGTAATGATTTTTTTTTTTTTCAACTCTTGGGTGAGTGGTCTCGCGCCCTTATCTTTGTTTCAACTGTGAAACTTTTGTTGCCAACTCATTTAATTTTTAAAATCTTGTTTTTTTACAATTGAAAATTGAGCATTATCACAATATGGCTACTATCACAGTCCCTCTATATAAGGATAGGGGGACTGTGCTATACAGAGAGGTATAACTCCAGAACGAAACCCCCGATCACTTAATGATGATGTCATCGCCCGTGTCACATGATTTTCAATAATACCCACAGTGCTTCGCAAATCCAAAATGGAAGGCGGAGGAGCGTACGGTGCTGGAAAAGCGGGTTCTGCTTTCGACCCAATTGCGTTTATAAAAAGACCCCAAGTTATCCTCAGGATAGTAAGTTGGGTAAGTGAGGTCACCTTCTTTGTAAGATCAAAATTAGGCCCAGTTTCAGTGGACCGAAGTGCATTCCCAGTGACGGCGGTGTAAAACAAATATCCTAGCATTGGCATTGCGTTTGTGACTGGCTTTAGACTAAATAAAGCGCACACTGAAACACTGCAGAGTAATACCCTGTTTTAAAACATTGCTTATGCAATTCTATATTTATAATGTGTTTTTTTCTACTCAACATACAAAATAGTCCAATCAGTATATTTAACTTTTCAACGTGTCATCACAATTTATCATGATTTATTTTGTTCGACAATATTTATTTATTTAAAAAAAAAACACTGAATAACCTACCTATTGTGTGGTACCCCCTATCCCACACCACCGTTTCAGCTGGTTGGCAGATATAATTGAGGTTTGTACCATGAAGGTGTTAATTAATAATCTTGTATACGCTGGGTAAACAACATACATAAATTAAGTGCAATAATACATCACACTCACTGGTCGTCACTAAGGGCTAAGGGGTCAACCATTTGAAATTCGGGGTGTGTGAAAAAAATGTCAACTAAACAGAGAGAGAAAGATTGCATGCAAAATTCTTCCGAAAAAAAAATTTTGGCAATATAAAAAAAAATAGTACTCACAAGAACCATTAAAACAAAACTGTTCTGGTCACACTCTTCCAGTCAGCCCCCTCCCTGGATTTCAAAAGTGCAACCCTTCTGAATTCAGATTATTTATGTATTCTTCACCAAATATCGCTGCAATGATTGAGTTTTAAACCGAAATAATTATTGAATTTGATTGGTGTTGATTTTTTTTTATGTTCTCGATAATTATACTCGTGTAAATAACACTTTTTCAATTGACAGCCTACACAAATCTTAACATCTTAACAAGTAACTAATGTATAAAGAGTTGTTTGAATTCAAATTACTCTGCTGTGTCATAAATGAATAGTCTATACAAGAGCAGTGCATGTTCATGACATTGTCATCTTGGTACTCACAATCTCAGCATTACTATTAAGCCAAGTGAATTAGACGCACAAAGCATGTATATTGATTAGTTTGACCTGTAATAGGGGCAGTCAAGGTATTGCCAACAAAATGAAATACAATATAAAAAAAGTTGATACTTTAACTGCTGGTAATTTAACTGTTTGTTTAATGCATTTGGTACATTGTTAATCATTTGGGCAGAACTTATTACATTAAATCCAACATTTATTAAAAAAAACATCTGTTTGGCTTTATAATGTAGCCTAGAATGGTTTGTGAATTCAACAAAATCTGTTCTTCATATGAAAAGCTAGGTAATATACTCCATTCCGGTCACCATGTATTATATCCATAAAAGGGTACAATATATTATTTATGTACATACACACATATAATATATGCTCTGCTACATGTGTAAGTGTTAAATTAATATTAAACAAGTCCTTATGTCATTTGAAAAATATTGAATAAACAAATAATTATGCATAGAAGTGTTGTGCAGCAACCAATATTTTTGAATTGTAAAAGCTATTTTTCAGTGAGTCATGATTGTAATCTGAAATTTATGAGTTAGCACAGCCTGCAAATACTTGATATTGTACCTTTGATCTTGATAACAAATTGTGCAATTAGAGCTGAATGCTTTTGTACATCCATGATGCAGACCCATTATTTTTCTTAAAAAGTCAGTGTAATTGTGTATTTTTAGGAGGTGGCATGTCTTAACTGTATTGATGTTTTTTTTAAATTTATCTGTACACATTGAATAGTTTCTTTTCCATGATTCAATTAAATAGCATTTTTTGTGTGTGACAGTGACGATTTTGTGAAAGGTCGCCATTTTGTGTAAGTTGGTATTCTCTTCCTTTCTGTTATTATAAAACTAAGAAGTACTGGTATGTTACAAACATTCTGGGAATTATACAGAAATTATTTTGCAAGATGCAAGATGTCTGTTCCACTAAAGAACAACTTATTTTGGATTTTGATGAAACTTAGTACATAGATGCTCTTGGCTAATGTGCAGATTTGAATCGTTTTTGGTAGAAATCCATGCTTATTAATTAATTATTAATTGTACCTAATTTGCATAATGATTAGTCAATTTTCGGCTTTTGCATAAATCTCAAGTACTAATCACATTTCAATGAAACTTGGTACAGAGATGTCATAGGATAATGCACAAACCTGATAAGTTTTGGGATAATATCTGTGAATACATGTATTAATTAATTAATTACCTAATTTGCATAAATTAAGTTTTTTCGTTTTGGGGTAAAAATCTGTGCATATTAATCACCTAATAATGATTAATAAATTGTTGCTTTTCCACTGATTTCTCAAGTACTAATAACTACATTTTAAGGAAACTTGGTACATAGATGCTCTAAAACAATGCAGAGCCCACATTAGTGTGTTTTAAAATCTTTCGATTAATTACCTAATTTACATAATAATTTTCTATCTATATCTCAAAAATCAATTATTGCATTTAAATAAGTGCTGGAAACAATGCTGAAGTCAATTATTAATTTGGGATTGAAAGTCAAGCATACTAATTATCTAATTTGCATAATCATCACATTTCATTGAA